CAGACAGACAGACAGACAGACAGAGAAAGAAAGAGACAGACAGACATATAGACAGACAGAGAAAGAGAGAGAGAGAGAGAGAGAGACAGAGAAAGAGAAAGAGAGGGGGAGAGAGAAAGAGAAAACACGAGTGTGTGTGTGTATGCGTGTGCATATGTTGATATATATTTTAGTGCGGACCCAAAAATATACGTATTTATATGCCTATACATTTGACTGTTGTTCTCCACTTCTCCCTGCATGTGAGTCTTTGTATTTAAGTGTGGAAGGGGAGATTGTGAGCGTGTTTGCATGTTTATTTGTCCGTTTTCTTACTAACAAAAGCACTGACTCAGGCGATGACACATCCTTCTGTCGTCCGAAAGTCGTAAAAGAGATTTTAACAATGCAGTATTTTTCAACATTATGCAATGGGTGGGATTAGTCATACAGTCACTTTCTTTCTGGAGAACCTTTGTGCCTCAGATGTAGATATATTGATATATCATTTAAACAGCACCTTATCAACATCTATGCACACGTGAACACAAAAAGGAGAAGATAAAAGTGTTGGTTCATATAAATATATTTATGGTTACTGTTTGTGTCTTTGTTTGTGTTTGTGTGTGAGTGTAAGTGTGTGTGTGTGTGTGTGTGTGTGTGTGTGTGTGTGTGTGTGTGTGTGTGTGTGTGTGTGTGTGTGTGTGTGTGAGTGAGTGGATGAGTGAATGAGTGAGTGAGTGAGTGAGTGAATGTGTGTGTGTGTGTGTATGTGTGTGTGTGTGTGTGTGTGTGTGTGTGTGTGTGTGTGTGTGTGTGTGTGTGTGTGTGTGTGTGTGTGTGTGTGTGTGTGTGTGTGTGAGTGAGTGAGTGAATGAGTGAATGAGTGAGTGAGTGAGTGTGTGAGTGTGTGTGTGTGTGTGTGTGTGTGTGTGTGTGTGTGTGTAGTGTGTGCGTGAGTGAGTGAGTGAGTGGATGAATGAGTGAGTGAGTGTGTGTGTCTGTGAGAAATGCTCCGAAAAGACTTCATTTACTCCTCACCCATTATAAGCACGGCAGTAAACTTAATGCATAATACAGGTACTGCGGTCTGTACACTCCCGTAAGACCTCCGTGAGACTCCCCCCCCCATCCCACCCCACCCTCCAACCAACCCCCCACCCCCCACCATTCCCTCTACCCCTCCCTCCTTTATCCCCCCCTTCCCCCTCCCCCTCCCCCTCCTCGACCTGCGTGGAGATTCTTGTACAAGTTTTCTCATGTGTCGTTTCCATGAATTATTTCCTGGCCTGCGAGTTCGTGGGGGTTTATTTTGCTTTACTTCGCGACCTTCGATTGCTGGTGTTAACAAGAGATATAAATAATTATCATCGAAAAAAAAGACATATATCGCGTGCCAACGAAGGGTTGTTTCCTTCTTCCCTTCCTCCTTCTCTCCTTCCGTCCTTCTTTCCTTTCCTCTATTCGCCCCTTTCTCTTTCCTTCCCTCCCTTTCCTTCCTCTCTCTCTCTCTCTTTCTCTCTTTCTCCATCCCTTCCTCTCTCCCTCCTCTCTCTTCCTCCTCCCTCTTCCTCCTCTCTCCCTCCCTCCCTCCCTTCCTCCCTCCTTCTTTTCCTTCCTTCCTCCGTCCTTCCCTCCCTCCCTCTTTCCTCCCTCCTTCCCTCCGCCCCTCCCTCCCTCCCTCCGCGAACTACCTGCGATTCCCAGGCGAGGCAGGAGAGGGAGGTTATAAAAGCCGAGATTCGTGCCCCACCTGTTGCCCGACTTTCCCGTTTCAGTCGTAGTCTTAAAAATGACTAGCCTCTTTTTCACAATCCCTTTGGCTAACTCGTACCTTCCTGGTTATCCCATCTTACCTGGGTATCTGATGCTTTTGAGTTGCTTTCACGTGGTTTTGTATCGTTTTAATGGGGTTTTCTGTATAATCTCAGGTCACGGAGATATCACAGTCTGATTATTTTTGTTATTTAATGTTCCACTTAAAGATCCAGAGGAGAGTTTTATATCCGGTTTGCATTATCTCGTTCCTCCTAGACTGGCACCGTAAAAGCGAGTCTTTTGTTTTGTTACATGACTAGTATTTAAGAGGCGAAGATATGAGATTGAATAAATTGTATCTGATTCTGTTTTTGGTATTTAGTTTATCAGTGTCTTGCTTGGTTGCCTCGTCGTGGGTTCATTGTTTAAGAAAATATCCTTGATTTTCCAGGATTCTGTTTATAGTGGTCTGTTTAATTTTCATTTTCATTTTCATGTATTGATTTCATTTGGTTTATTGTTCATTTTTATTGGGTATTTCATTGTGTTTCCTTTAATGTTTCATAATAATTAGGCTATGAATTCATTTTTCTTTTCTTTTCTTTTTTCTTTTTTTCTTTTTTTTTTTGTTTTTGTTTTTATAGCCTTCTCGCTCATTCTCTCTCCTTCCATCCTTCTTTCCACCAAAAGAAATGCACAACCTGAACACATACTTCAGGGAAATGCGGAAATGGCAGCGGGTGAAAAAATAAAACAAAGAGTATATTTGTCAAACAATTTCTTTGGTCATTGTTCAACTTCACAGAATAACATGATCGACTCTTGACTAGACAATAAATTCAATCAAACGTTCTAAAGTAAAGCTTTTGTTCAGCCTTACTCTACCTATCCATTAGAGAAGTTTCTCTGTTATATTTTTTGGTACAATTTTTATTTCCTAATAATTTAGATAAAACACTTAATTCATTAATTTTGAGTTGCCAGATTGACTAGACAAATAATATTAAGAGAGCCAAACAATAGCTATGGCACAAGCATTGATTCATGTAGTCCGAACAGACTAGTAGAGCCTTTGCAAAGAATTTTGTAATTAACATTTCAGCTAACACCATATAAAGCATATTCACCTAAGAACAAATTACTTTGTAAAATAAATACAAATTTCATCGAGTTTTTTTTTCTCCTTACCCGGTGTTAGTAATAAAAATATCTGGAATGTACATAACAAAATAAGAACAGTCAGTCCACAAGGTCAAGTTTCCTCCCCCACAAAAGACGACACCATAGGATCAAAAAGGCGTGACGTGATTGGTTCAGCTCGTCCTCACTCTCTCGCCATCAGCCAATCACAAGCCCGGACGCGGCCGCACTTCGGACAAGCCTTCACCAATCCTGAGTCACAACGAATAGAATCAGAAAAAAAATTGACCAAGTTTTCATGACATTTGCGTAAAACGAAAACAAAAGAAAGAGAAACTCTTGACATAAATTAAATATCTAAGAAACTCCTTGACTTCAACTGACCAGGAATGTTATTTTTTTCGTTATTTTGGCGACTGCACTTATCGTCTCAGAGATAAGTAACCCTTGAGCAAAAATAAAACCATACAATAAGAATACCACTGGGTACATGCAACAGAAAATTCTCAAGACGAACAATGGATTCGTAGGTTAAACACTGCCAACTGAAAAAATATGCCATGTATACTAGAGCAATTGATATACAATATAGAATACAACTTGACATACAGGAATGCCATAGTATATATAGGTATTTGTGTCTACAATGCTGGGTAGATCTCGACATCCACCTCCTGCCTGGCGAAGGCGGGAGGAGGGCCAGAGCCTATACAAAGAACACTGCTTATGCCGTCAATACTTTAGTACAGAAAAACATATGACACACAGTTGAAGAAATATATCTGAAAGTATCTAACAATACGCTTCAACTTCTCGGAGACGACGATGAGTAAAATAGATAAATAGAACTGTTTCAATAAAAATAATAATAATAAACCTTTCTTCAATTTCTCGTATAGACATTGGATATCAGCAAGTCACGTGCCTCGCCACTGAATTAAAACTCAAAGCACAGCTAACAAATATTTCATGTTGACCCACGATCACTGGAACATATCGTTATCTACCTAATACGGAATGTCGGCAGTTTTCACAGATCATGAAACGGAGATCAAACCGATCTGGGAGCTACACAGAGCACGTAAGTAGTCCAGAAGAAAAGTTGCATGGTCTGCGTTGGAATCCTTTCGAAGAGACCGGCCGAGCTGCAGCCCGAGGTCCCGCCGACGGGGCGAGAGAACACCACCGCCCTGTCTTTCACCACTTCGCCGTCCGCTCGTGCGAGGGGCGGCTCCATCGCGCCCCGCCGAGCTCCTTCGTGTCCTTCGCAGGGCTCGTGGCCGCCTACCGGAGCAACCCACAGCGAACGGCAGATCTCGAGCCCGCGGCGGATCATAACAGCTGTCTCTGTCGCAGCCACAGAGCAGCAACCCGGCCGGAGGTTGAACAGCTAACAGCCTCGCCCGCAATGAACAGTCTGACCCGCGACGGCTGCTTGAAAACCACTAAGTACTATTTACTAGCATTGTTAGACTGTACAGTACACTTGATTTACTTGGTCCAGGATCAAATATTCAGCTCCATAAACATGAACGACCATCTTATATCATCTACTGATATATAATCAACCTAATTATAACACACATCCCAGAGACCTGTATACAACGCTTATCTTTATATGGATATATAGATAATATTGATAATTATATGAAAGAAGAACTAATAGTTACATCCCTGACGGTCGGACGCTGAGCAAGTACGGGGAAAGGCCCCTCTGGCGGGGGACCCACGTGTGGCGCCGCCCCCGCCCCCACGGTGACGCTCGGGCCGCCCTGCCGAGGCCCGCGAACGGCGCCCTCGGGGAACCGCGGCGGTCACTGCATCGTGGCTTTCGAGTCTTAGAATTCACCTACGTATATATATATATATATTAAAAAATTCATAATAACAATGCAGTTTCACCGTGTGGGCAAGGACAGTGTGTGTGTGTGTGTGTGTGTGTGTGTGTGTGTGTGTGTGTGTGTGTGTGTGTGTGTGTGTGTGTGTGTGTGTGTGTGTATGTGTGTGTGCGTGTGCGTGTGCGTGTGCGTGTGCGTGTGCGTGTGCGTGTGCGTGTGTGTGTGCGTGTGTGTGTGTGAGTGTGAGTGTGAGTGTGAGTGTGTGTGTGTGTGTGTTAGTGTGCGTAAGCGTATATCCTGCATGCAACTGGGCATGGTCGTGTGGCCGTGTGATGTGCCTGTGCAAGTAAGCGGTGGCGTCCCCCTGATATAATAGCGTTCTGCTGGCCAAAACCAACATCCCCGCCCGCCCGCGCCCTCACAACCGGGCCGCCCGCAACCCCACCTGGAGACCTATTTTGCGCGGGGTCCGAGCAGCCCCCCGGTTTTGATTGGTACTGAGGTACAGTGATATAGAGGAGAGTCCGGAGCCAGCCGCAGGCCGCGCCCGGCCCTGCCCGCGTAATATCGTCCCGCCCGCCGGCGCGGCGACGAGCGTCCCCGGCGGCGGGCGTGTAGCACCTGTGGCGGGCTGTCCGGCGGGCGTCTGCGGCCCCGGGCGGCTCCACGGCCGGGCGCGCCCACGTCACGCCCGGCCCGTGATTGTACTTTGAAGAAGAGCAAGACCCTGAGTTGTAGCGCGCCTACAGGGCGCAAAGCTCATGCTGGCGTGAGGCTGAAGGAGACCGTGAGAGGGCGCTGCACGCGACGCGCCACCGGCAGGTACACCAGCGAGGGCACGAACTGCTCGCTCTCGGGCTTCGGGTGTTCCGCCTCGCAGCCGTCTCCGCCCTCCGGCCCGTCGCTGTTCAGGAGGAAGGGCTGCATCACGAAGCGCCCCGTCGCGCGAGACTTGGTGGGCGTGGCGTGGCTCGTGGGCACGCCGGGGCGGGCGCGGTGCTGCTCGCGGATGTGCTGCCGCAGGTCCGTCAGGCGCCGCGCCACCGCACCGCACTTGCGACACTTGAAGAGACGGCGGTGCACGGCGGAGCGCCCTAGCCACGTCCCTCGAGCCCGCGGGTTGTGCATGGCGTGCACATGAGCAAGGCACAGCGCGCGGCTCATGAACTTCATCCTGCACTGGGAGCATCGCCATCGCTTCCTGCGCCTCAGGGGAATGGACGAGGGCGGCCCCCCAGCGTCCTTCCTCGAGCCGTCCTTCTGCAGCCCAGGGGAGTCTTGCTCGTGTCTTCCGCTTTCCTGCTCCAGCAGCGGCTTCAACAGGCCCTGGAGCTGATGTTGCAAAAGGTGGTGCTGGTAAGCTTCAATGTTAGGCAGCATTTGTGAACAAAGAGGGCAGGGAACTGCTTGTCCTAACACACCTGGGAAGGGCGGCATGCCAGGGGCATGAGTTCGGGAATGGGCATAGAGTAAAGCTGGGGTAGGAGCTGTGAAGGGGCAGACTGTACACTGAAGAGAGTTCCTCGATTTAAGGTCATCGTCTCCTGCACTTCGGGAGGCCTCCGAGCCAGCGTCATGAGCACCATGCACTTTGATGACATGCAGCTGAAGGGCAACCAAGTCCGGCAGCACGTGGCCACAGAGCCCACAGGAGGGGCCTTGCTGTTGCTGAGGTGGGTCGCGGGAAACCATGGTGGCCTCGATCTCGCGCCACTTCTCCTTGCCTGCATTCTCGTGGTCGTTGGTCAGGTGAGTCTTCAACCACTTGCGATTCTTAAACCGTCGGGAGCACAGAGGGCAGTTTTCGATTTCCGATTGATCGATGCCTTCCTCGCCTTCACGCCCCTCTTCTACAAGGCCATGCGTATTCTGCTTGTGGACACGTAAAAAGTACTTGCTACAGAGTTCTTTGTTACAAAGATCACATGTAACACCACCCGATACACCATTTTCTATGTTAATTCCATGCATCTTTAACATATGTGTTTTCATAAAGTATTTATTACATAGTTCCTTGTTACAAATCTCACAATAGGAACGGGAGGTTGACTGAGGTTTCCTGTCCTCTCGACTTTCCACCTCTGCTCTTATCCTCTCCATGAAAGACGTTGGTGGTGCTGGGGGAGTGAACACACCGTGCGCACTCAACATGTGCTGCTGAAGGATATAACGCGAGAAGAAATCTTTCTTACAAATGGTGCAAAAAGCTTGGTTTTCGGCCGTAGGAGGCGGAGATGCCGACTTCGGTTCACGAGGGGTCTTTGGGGTTTGGGCTCCTTCGCTAGGAGTGGCGGGAGCGTCCTCGTGCCCCAAGATGCCGTGTTCTGTCATCATGTGAGCACGAAGGAAATACTTGTTTCCGACATCCTTATGACACAAGCGACACCGAAGACCCATTTCCCCCTGGCGGTTCAGCTGTAAGATCATGGACTGAAGCTTTCGGAGATCTTCACTTGCATCTGACTCCCCAGATCCTGTAGATTCAATGACTGATGGCCGAGGCATATCCTCGCTCCTGTCTCCTCCATCCTCAGAGAGAGGCTCCTGAGACATCCGCTGTCGTTCCCGTTCAGCCTGGGCTTGGTCGTGCTGCTCCTCCTCCTGCTGCAGCCTCATCTGATGCTCGTGTAGTCGACGCTGCTGTTCTTCTATCCTCTTCTGTTGTTGCTGTTGCTGTTGCTGCTGCTGTTGTTGCTGTTGTTGTTGCTGCTGCCTGGCTTGCTGCTGGGCATGAAGTGCTAATTGTCTAAGCTGTTCGTGCGGGGAGGGTTGTGGATGCAGAGATAGCTGCTCCTGTTGTGCTGCTTCCTGGCCAGGGCCGTGGAAGTAGTACTTGTGCATCTGAAGGAGATAGTGGCTGGGGAATGGACGCCGGCAGATATCGCACTCCAAATCACCCTCAATGTCGGGTAGAGTCGGCCGTAACTCAAGCGCCTGTCGTTCTAGAAGCCGAGCAAGACTGAGAGGGGAATTGTCTTTCTGGTGATTCTTCGATCTGTCGGAGAACTCGGGGGTGTATATCCCGTGCTTTTTGATGCGATGCGTCCGTAAGAAATATTTGTTGCAGAATTCCTTACAGCACAGCTCACAGAAGGCATCAGGGTTAATAACTCCAAGTTGACGAAGTTGCTCTGGAGTGAATTTTGTCCCAGGTGGCGCTTGTACCATCGCTGGTTGACCCACACGTGCAATGATGCCTGTATCGCGGGAACTCTCGTCTGCACTGCTTCCCGGAGTCCGAGGAGCTTCACGCGAGGGCTCCCGAACGGACTCCCGGACGTCCCCTCCTTCTCGGGATTCATGGCCCGGCTCCCGATTCTCTGGCCTTCCATTTCGGCTTTCGGATCCTCCATTCTGGCTTTCTGAGCCTTCTGGATTGCCCGATTCCTTTGAACTGCTGTTCCTCTGTTCCTGGTCTTCACTGTTGCCTTGGTGATGCAAGCCATTCCGTTCTCCCTTTTCGTGACCTTGGGACTCTTTGCTTGCTTGCTGGTCGCTCTTCTGAGATTCTCCCTCTTGGTACATTGGTTCTTGTTTGATTGCTAACTCTCCATCTCCTCTCATCTCGTGGTCTCTTTCCTTTAACAACTGTTCACGTTTTTCATGTTCATATCGTTCACGTTCGAGTTCAAGGTTCTTGTATGATTCTCGCTCATGTTCACGGCTTCGATCTTGCTCCCACTTGTGTTCTTCTCTGTCTCTCTCACATTGCTCAAGATCTCTCTCGTGTTCTCGTTCCCGTTCGCGTTCACGTTCGCGCATTTGCATTTCCCGATGCTGGTGCTCACGTTCCCTCATCTGGTGCTCACGTTCTCTCTGCTGGTGTTCACGTTCCCTCTGTTGCTGGTCTCGTTCGTGGCTCTCAAGGTCTCGCTGCTGCATTTCCCATTCGCGGTGCTGCTGCTCCCTCATCGCCTGCATGTCCCGGGCATCGAGGGGGAAGTCACTAGACTCGGATAATCGGTCGTGGTAGCCGCTGCGTTCAGCATGTTGGTGGTACTGATCCTCATTTCGGAGTCTCTGTTCATTCCACGAGTCCTCCTTCTTCATTCCATCTATGTGTTCTCGCCTGCTGTCTTTAGGGGACTCCATCGGCCTCTCGCTCCTCGGGGTATCCCTCACTGCATCCCAGGGCGACCCAAGAGGTCTGTCCCAAGGGCTGCGGCCAGGAATGTCCTTTGGAGACTCTCTTGCATCCCTTGATTGTTCTACTTTAACTGGCGTGCGAGCATCTTTGTAAGATTCCCATGGACTGAAATATTCCCTATGATCTGGGCCATCTCTGCGGCCTTCCTTAGGAGTGGGTGTTCTGGGGTTTCTAACGGTATGAGGGGAAGTGGTGTGAGGAGACGGCAGGGGGGCGACGATGTGAGGTCCATGAGCCTGTAACTTGTGAGCATTGAGAGCAGCGCGACTGCCGATGTCCCTCCGACAGGCATCGCACCAGCCCTCGGGCCGGTCTGGGGCGACGCGAGGAGGCAGCTGACCTGCATTCTTGGGCTTGGTGACAACTTCAATGTTGATTCCATGGATCTTTGCCTTGTGGCGCTTGAGGAAATATTTGTTGCAGAATTCCTTTTGGCACAACTCACAGTAAGCCTCGAGGTTAATAACGCCTCCAGTCTTATTACTTGTGCTAGAGTCCTTACTAGTGGGTTTATTTACACTAAGTTGTGAGGGCAGCAGCGGCCGCAGGGGGAGAGCATTCATGTTGGTGGTGATGAAGGCCCCGGCATACGGCGAGCCGCCAAAGCCCCCGCTGGCCAGGCTCGGACCCAGGGGCGAGGTCATCGAGGAGGCCATGGACACGCTTGGCCCTAACGGGGTCGAGTGGCTCGAGGGAATTCCCGTCGGGGAACTGCTCGTTTCAGGGGAGTAAATGCCGTGCTTGTTAGCCTTGTGTGTCTTGAGGAAGTACTTGTTGCAAAACTCTTTGTGGCAAAGGTCACAATAAGCTTGCTGATTGAAGATGCGTTGTTGCTGTTGACCATTTGCCATCGATGATGATGATGATGAAGGAGAAAGCGCTTGCTGAGAGTGAGGCAGCCCCGCCATTCTCTCTCGCTCCGCCTGCTGCTGCAGGAACGGGAACAGGAAGGGCGGGGGGCCGAGGGGCAGCAGCCCAGGCATGCCCAGCTTTCCGTCGCCGAACGAGGGGGGCATCGGGATGGAGGTCGGGGGGCTGCGGCCGTCCTCGTCGTGGGGCCTGGAGGGGGGCCGGCCGTCCCAGCGGGGGCTCGACAGGTTCAGGGGGCCGGGCTCACTCTCGGGTTTCCTGTTCTCTCCCGGCTCGGCCTCCTCCCGCTGCTGCCGGAGCCGCGCCTCGTCGTCGGTGAGGAGGCGCCCGATGTGCTCTTCAATGATGTGGCGTCGCAGCGAATCCTCAGACGGGGCTTCCACGTGGCAGTGAGGACACGCGATGCCCTCCTCGCCATCGCCGGAAGGGTTGGACATTTCCGAGTCGAACTGCGCCTCCTCGGGCTTAGGCTGCGGCGGGTCCTGCAGGTCGCCCTGGGGCGTCGGCAGCCGGACCGGGTTGCTCTGCTTGCGCCGCTTCTTCGCCGACGCCGACAGGTGGCTGTCGTCGCCGCCCCGCTGGTAGTAATGCGACAGCTGGTCGTTCAGACTGGTCTCGTCGTCCTCGGTGGTGGCGTCGCCCCCGGAGGTGGACACGTCATGAAGGTCGCTGCCTTCCTCGTAGTGGCTCGCGACGCCCTGGAAGTGAGCGTGGAGGTAGGCGTGGTGCGCGGACGTGGGGTCGCCCCCCGCGCTGCCGGGAGACCCGGGCTGCGGGTCAGCCTCTCCCACGGCCTGAGGCGTCGTCCCGCGCGACACCAGAGCCTCCAGGAGCCCGGAGTTGAGCGTAGCCGATGCCATCTTACCGCGCCCGCCTGAAACAACCAAAACAACGCAGCTTTAACAACACGGAATGGATGGCGACATCTAAACATCTAAAAAGTAAATACTGTGTTTATAATAGTTATTATAAACGCAATAACTATGAATGCCTAATCTACTGTACACAAATCAAGGACAAGTATCGAAAGAAAAAGCTGGAAATATTCCTCTACATTAAAACATTGCAAAACAAACATAAATTACACCGAAAAATTACAAGGCGAGATAATAACCGCATTATCCATTCCCTGTGAAAAGAAAAAACGCCGTCAATAAATGCACACGACCGACTAGTTCCTCCGTACTGCCCGCCCTACAAAGGCTGAAAAAGTAATGAGGTAAGCGCTCGCGCACCAACCTTACAATTTCACATTCAAATTCCACCTTTTCTCCATTCCTTTGTCGCTGGAATCTTGAGCCATGACACGAACATTCTCTGTAGTTTTCTATATACATACGAAGGGGGGCAGTAATGGATATATATGAAGACAGATAGATAAATAGACGGATGGATAGATAGATACATAATTGTGTGTGTGCGTGTGTGTGTGTGTGTGTGTGTGTGTGTGTGTGTGTGTGTGTGTGTGTGTGTGTGTGTGTGTGTGTGTGTGTGTGTGTGTGTGTGTGTGTGTGTGTGTGCGTGTACGTCCGTGTACGCGTGCGTGAGCGTACGCGTGCGCACGTGCATGTGTTCATCTGAAGGTCTGTACATTAATATGTATATTTTTGTCTAGACGTGACTTACAATTTTTTCTCACATAAAACGTTTTCTTAGCCTCATTTTCAGGAATTCGAGGCGACGCGACCCTCCCGCTCAGGCGCCCGACAGAGACATCACACCACGACCTACCAAGACGTGTGCGAGGGCGTGCGTGCGCTGCTATTGACGAGGCTTTGACGGTAAGTGGTCCTCCGCGCGGCCGGCGAGAGCGGCAGCACGCGAACGGCGGTTTTCATACAACAAACCCCTTAAAAATGGTCTTACATTTCGTGTTCTCTCATTACGACGGAGCCCGAACGCCCTCTCGCGTACATTAACCTCTCTCTGGTATCGACTTTCCCCGGAATTCGGTGTATGGGCGAGCGTGCGGGCGGAGAGGAAGGGCGCGATCGCGAATGCCTCGAACGGGGAGGAAATGGAGCCTCTGGCCAGCGATCAGTCGTTTCGTCTGGTAAAGTCTTAATATAAACTTATATTAATTACACATACATACATAAATCTATATACATATACTTTTATACATACATACATACATACGATATGTATATATATATATATATATATATATATATATATATATATATATATATATATATATATATACATATATATATATATTTTATATCTATTATATACTTGTATATATAGATAGATAGACACAAACACACAAACACACACAGATATATATATATATATATATATATATATATATATGTATGTATGTATGTATATTTACACATATAAATACACATATAATATGTGTGTGTCGGTACGCGCGTGCGTACATGCATATGTGTGTATGTGTGTTCGCGCGTGCGTGTGCGTGTCTGTGAAGGCGCCACGCGCTCCCGAAGACAGGTGGTTGGGCAGCACGTGAAGCCAACAGCTCAGCTGCAAACAGGTGATATAACCTCGATCTCCTGACGGTGGTGTACGGGAGGGAGGGGGAGTGGGGGAGGCAACCCATATTTGTATTCTTTGTATGACTGACACAACGAGGACAGATCTCATTAAAACAGAGGTATACTTGAAATAAAGAAAAAATAAAAACATGTAAAGATTCCACGGCCTCTCATGAATGGCATAATAAACTCGCAACTTGAGATACAAAGTCTTCTGATAAACCTGAGATCGGTGGAGCTCGTCTCTGGACAGAGTCTGGAACAAAGCCAGATAATTTTTTTGAAATACGCTACAAAGGAGGTATGGAGTTGAAGAAAAAAATACCGTAAATAAAATCTCGGCCTGGCAACTCTACGGTGTCCATTTCAAACGGGAGTTGCCGCGCGCCTTTTTTTATTTTTGAAACGCAATTAAACCCCTTCTCCATCCGGGTTCTTCTCGCACTCAACATCCAAACACCTTAAAGAAAAACGTAAATAAAACGTACATTAATTTCCCTTCCTTAGAACGAGGCTCTACCATGCCCACAGCCCCGAGGAACAGCCGCAGGAGCTGGCGAGGGCGGCAACCTCCCCGAATCGATAGAGCAACAAAAACAACAAACACAGGCCGATTCCAAGGCCAAGGGGGAGAATCCACGTGCTTCTTGGAGGCGGAGGAAACGGGAGGCGACGAGGGAGCTGCTGGCGGTCGCGGTTACGGACGGAGAGCAGGGAGGAGGCCGGAAGGAGGGCGGGACGCTCCTGACGGTGGGTCGGGTGGCCGGAGGGGAGGCGGAAGGTGCAAAATGCGGCGGATGAGCGACTTGCTTTAAGGAATCTTGGAAGATGGAAGTAAAAGTAGCTTTAGGTGCTTTTTTTCTTTGGTATGAATCATATTGTTAACCTCCCTCCCTCCCCCTTCCTCCTCCTCTTCCTGCTCCTCCTCCCTACTACGTGGCAATTTAACAGTCTGAAAAAACCGGTTCTGATATCCCCCCCCCCGCCCCCCGCCCTTCGTCGCAGCATCTCGAGCAAGGAAACCCGGCGCAGGAGGAACCGTCTTGGAGAAAACCCGGATTAACGGACCAATAGGACATAGTAACCGACGGGTCAACTTCCACACTTTCCTGCCATACTTTCCCCCCACAATGGTCTCCACAGGCGCGGGCGGATGAGGGGAATATGCACAAGATTTATAACACGCAATAATCACCCCCATGCGGCCCGGGCGCAAGGGTGATCTACGCTCGGAGGCGAAGAGTGAGGATCTGCCACTGTCTGGAAATGGTCTCGCGCCGCGGTTACCAGTTATCTTTTTTTCTTCCCCCTTTTTTTTTTTAATCAGACCTTCGGGTGGAGGTTATCCTCAGGATGCGAAGTCTCCTGTCTCCTCCTCTCTCCCGAGGGCATCGCCGAGACCGCCGTCGCCCCGCCGAGGAGCCGCCCTCGAAGGCCCGATTCCTAATCATAATTATTCACTCATCGATTACGCCCAAGATGGCATCTCTCGTTCCCCTCTTCCCGCTCTCGAAATGGGCTTCCCCGTTTTCCTCCCACGAGGGGAAAGGAGGCGGAGCCGGAGGGGGAAAAAAAGCGATATGATTGGTGGATGAAACTCAAAGAAGGACGGAGGTTTAAAAAAAAAAGAAAAGGAAAAAAAAAACGAAGTGGAAAGAAGGGAGGAAGGAGATGAGATAGCAAAATTACGATCAAGAATTGAGGACATGCGAGATAACGAGCGAATTAGGGGGACGAAGACGAGGAAGCGGTGACAATACAAGAAAAAAAATGGGTTGTTCGCGTCTGTTATTGGTTCACCAGGCCGTAGCTCAGCGAATGCGTGTATATGAGCACACGGCGAAATACCTACATACAGATAGACATATGCATACATACATGTACACACACACACAAACACAAACACAAACACACACACACACACACACACACACACACACACACACACACACACACACACACACACACACATATATATGTACAATATATATATATGTATGTATATGTATGCAAGTGTATATGTGTACATGTATATGTATATATATATATACATATGTGTGTGTCCAAGCAAACCAGAGAGCGCTCTACACCCCCACCTCCACCCCCACCCCCCGCCGCCCCCCTCGATGATGCACTCCCCGTAGGCGTCGGGCGGAGGTTGAAACAAATGCGCTGACGGCTGGTGTACCATCTGAAGGGGGGGGGGGGGAAGAGGTGGTGTCTGGGGAGAGGGGGGGGGAGGTCGTCGCCGGTCGTCCCATTGTTGTGCCCGCCACGACCCTCTCATATTATAGGCATCGCGCGCCCCAGCTCACGTCATCACCTACACCAATTGGGTACTTTACTTAAACTGCCGACTCGTGTGTGTGGTCGGGGGGGGGGGGGGGTGCACATCCGCCTCCGTGTACGTCTGTGGCCGTATATTAGCTTGGAAATAAATATACTGGAGCGGGAGAGAGGAGGGAACAGGAATGGGTGTGGGTGTGCTTGTGCGTGTGTGTGAGTATGAGTGTGAGTGAGTGTGTGTGTGTGTGTGTGTGTGTAAGAGAAAGAGAGAGAGAGAGACAGAGACAGAGAGGGACAGACAGACAGAGACAGAGAGAGACAGACAGACAGACAGAGACAGAGAGAAAGAGAGGGAGAGACAGACAGAAAGAGAGAGTGTCTATGTGCGTGTATGTATTTGAATATGTCTTGTTAGTGTATCCGTGAGTACGGATGTTCTGCACCCATCCATTCTATCTCCCCATCTATCTGTCAATATCGTTCCTATCTTTACATCAACTCGAACGACACTGAAACCCATAGAACAACTTTTGCGAAACTTCCTCAAAATTCGTGGAGGGAAAACCACGCGGATTCAAAGCAGGGCCTCCCCATGAATTCAAAACAAGGCTTCCCCACGAATTCAATACAAGGCTTCCCAATGAATTCAAAACAAGGTTTCCCCATGAATTCAAAACAAGGCTTCCTCATGAATTTAAAACAAGGTTTCCCCACGAATTCAAAACAAGGCTTCCCCACGAATCCAAAGCAAAATCTCGGCTTCAGCTTCAAAGCAAAATCTCAGCTTCAGTTCCAAAGCAAATTCTCAGCTTCAAAACCAAAAGCAAATTCCCGGCGGAAATTCAAAGCAGGCAGCGCAAAGCAAGCCACGAGACCCACGGGGGAATTCGCTGTCACAATGGGCACCGTGTCACGCGGCTTCTCGAGCCAGCCGTAA